GACAACATCATCCAACATTAGAGGAGGAGCTCTGGTAGCGGCCAACACCTTTGTCTTCTCTTTCTCCAGCAAAGCTTCTATGTCTGAGCACTTCTGCTTAAAGACCTTAAGTTCTTCCTCTAATTCTTGCATCCGAGACTTACCAAACTGCTCTTCCATCTTCTTTTCCTTTACTTCCTCAAGTTTACGCTCCAACCAATCAACCTTAAATCCCGAATATTTCAGGAATGTTAGTGCTTGCTTTGCTTGGCCAAGGTCATCAATGGAAAGGTCTTGCAGTGACTGGCACAAAGTCTCGATTATGTTAAGGAGGAGATTTATGGATGATGTCCTCATATGTTGGTTCTTTGCTCGGAACTCTAGTGCCACGTCTGGGTGTTTTTTGAATATGTGTTTCACAGATTCCGCCTGTTGTAAAAAAAGAAGAATGAAGTATAAACTCATGTAATTGAATGGTAGACTTTTAAGATACTATTTTTTTACATTTTCTCTGTATTAAGATGTGTTGTTCTACTATAAAAAAGAACTAAAAACAATCTCTTGTCCTAAAATCAACAACAAAGAAAAAGCAAATGATAATGTTTCATGAGTTTGACCCCGAGAGTTATCAGTTCCTAAGTCAAAACAACCCCACCACACACACACACATATATATGAATCTCGTAGCAGCATAAAATATGAACCACCTCGAGATTGGGAGAGTTTCTCGGAGAGTTGATTTACAACAGTTAGGCGAAGCCTTGTGTGTCTTCTCCATCCACAAGGAAAAGTTTTAAAATCAGCAACAGCCAGAAACATAGACAAGTAATTACCATTCTTAAATCCCTTGGGATAGGCCCCAAGAACCCTACAAGTAAAAAAAAAAAACACATGGAAAACAATGGATATTATATTCTCGTAAACCTAACTTGTACGACAAACATTAGATACATGTTATTTGCTCTTCTTACCATTTGCAGCCATCGATCACGAATTTATCAGAGGAAATCAAATGAGATTGCAAAGATGAGAAATTCTTTATCACCCAAGTGAATTTCTTATCAGCTTCTTCGTCATTCCCCATTGTAAGACTTCCAAAATATCAGAGGGTTTGGAGCTAGCAACTAAAACCCTATATATATCCACGCTTGTGTCACGGGTCTTCTTTATTTATGGACTTCGGGCCCAATTTACCATTTCGGCCCAAGTTATGCTTTGTCTCATATCCCCTTCGTTACCGTTACGATGTTAAAGGAACCAAAACCACTGAAAACACCGACAAGAAAGAAATATCAAAACAAAAATCATGAATCATATAAATCGTTACACATTGGTATATAATACGGCCACGAATAGCAATCCGATGCGGATGCCGCAGCCCGTGGGGTGACCCTAATCGCATGTCACCACGGAATAGCAAAACGAACTATGATTCATCAAGTGTTATTGGCAAGTGGATTAGTTCCTTGTATTTTACTCTTACTTTTTTTGGTACACAATTGGAGTTTAAACCTATGATTAGAGTGGTGCAAGTGTTGTTTATGTGTATATTTGAATTCTCATAGATATAAACTCGGTTTAAGACCAAAGTTAAGCTTTGATACGCTTAATAAGCTAAAACTAAAACTGAACATTGAAAATTACACTCAGTAGCTTAACCTTTGCCGGCGATAATCCGTTTACATAGTCACGATTCACGAAAGACACAACTAACAAAATCCTAGACTCTTATTCCTAGCGGGTTCACTTAACAAAAAGATTAGCTCTTTACAAGATATATGAGCTTCCAATAGACAGAAGTCTCTCTAGCTGCCTATGTTAATTTTGAAAGATAGACTCAAACGAACATAACACCTACCGGAGCCTAAGTCATCAGACAACATCATCCAACGTTAGAGGAGGAGCTCTGGCGGCGGCCAACACCTTTGTCTTCTCTTGCTCCAGCAAAGCTTCTATGTCTGAGCACTTTTGCTTCTCTTTTTCCAGTAGAGCTTCTATGTCAGAGCACTTCTGCTTACAAACCTTCAACTCTTCCTCTAATTCTTGCATCCGAGACTTACCAATCTGCTCTTCCATCTTCTTTTCCTTTACTTCCTCCAGTTTACCCTCCAACCAATCCACCTTAAAGCCCGAATTTTTCAGGTATGTTAGTGCTTGCTCTGCTTGGCCCAGGTCATCAATGGAAAGGTCTTGCAGTGACTGGCACAAAGTCTCGATTATGTTAAGGAGGAGATTTATGGATGATGTCCTCATATGTTGGTTCTTTGCTCGGAAATTTAGTGCCATTTCTGGGTGTTTTTCGAATATACGTTTCAGAGATTCCGCCTGCAGTTGTAAAAAAGGATGGATAAAGTATAATCTCATGTATAGTTGTATACATATCCACAAACTGAATGGTAGATTATAAAGGTACCATTTTTTTCCCTACATTGTATTAGTGTTCTACAGATAAATTCAAAACAGAAAATAAGACCACCTCTAGTCCAAAATTAGCAACAGCGAAGAAGTAAATGATAAGTCTTACGAGTTTGAAACCGATAGTTATCAGTATTCATCCAAATCAGTTCCTATATAACGAAACGCGTCTAAAAAGTTTGAATCTTTATGAACATGTTACCTGAGAAGGAAGAACTTGAAACCCATTGACATCTACTGATGAAGTTTCCTTGTGAAAATGACTAGTAGACACCGCACCACCATTTAGCCTCATCCTTTTCAGAGGTTGGGTTACCTCTTGAGATCCCTCTGAAACATCTAATTTGCCAATAACTTGAAGAACATAAACCTCCACAACAATCTTGACTTCATTGTTCACAAGAAATCCACCATCTTTTGCATTAAGTGTGGAAAGGAGAAGCATTTTTTCAAACACACAGAGACTACGGTATCCATCTAACCATTCTTCTTTTTCTGTAGACCACGAAAAGATAGAACTGATCCAACTCAAAACAAACACAAACAGAATTCACAAAATACGAACTTTCCTTTGTCCAAAAGCCTTATAGAACTCACCTACTTGTGGGGAGATTTCATCGGAGACTTGATTTACAACAGTTAGGCGATATCTTATGTGTCTTCTCCATCCACAAGGCAAAGTTCTAGGATCAGATACCATTAGACACAGAGGGAAATAATTATTATTGACATATCCATGGGGACATGCTGCAAGACGCCTGCAAGCAAAAACACCATAGAAAACAATGGAGGATGTTCTCTTCAACCAAAATTTGGACGAAAATAGACAACAGATATAACAAAGTTGTCTTCTTCTTACCATTTGCAGCCACCGATCACGAATTTATCAGATTTAATGAACTCAGATTTCAAAGATGAGAAATTTTTAATCACCCAAGTGAATTTCTCATACCCCATCGAACACGACTCCTCACAAGTACCACAACCAAAGTATCAAAACTTGAAGACGACCAACGAAAAACCCTATGACTTGAGTCACTGAGTGGCACTGGAACTGTTGTTGTGTCGAACCACTCTTGTATCGCTCGTCTGTTTCACTTATAGATTATGGGCTTCGGCCCAATTTACTATTTCGGCCCATGTTAATTCGTCCCGATATAATTACTCCCTGGTGTTGATGTTCATGGTAACCCTATCGATCCTCGTAAGATGCAAGAACACTTCGAGGTTTGTAACTTTTTTTTTTCTTCAGGAGCTTGAATTTGGGAGTAATTTATGTGGTTTAAGGTTTTTGGATTTTTTTGGAATATGTTGTTGAAGATTGTGAAGTATGCTTTGAGTTTATGTTATGTGCTTTTGTTTAAGTATTTGGAGATGATATATGTAATTGTGAATGTGCAGGACTTTTATGAGGAGCTGAATAAGTATGGTGAGATTGAGATTTGAGAGTCTGAATGTCTGTGACAATCTCTCTGACCACATGGTAAGTTGTTTTTGAGATACTAGCTAAGCATTATCTCTTTGTTTGTTTCCTGGACTTTGAATCATAACAGTATGTCAATCTTCTTGTGTATGTTTGTTTCCTAATCGCATGTCACCACCGAATAGCAAAATGAAATATGATTCAAGTGTTGTTGGTAAGTGATTAGTTCCTTGTACTTTACTCTTACTTTTATTGGTACATAATTGGAGTTTAAACCTATGATTAGAGTGGTGCAACCGTGCAAGTGTTGTTTATGTGTATATTTGAATTCTCATGGATATAAACTCGGTTTAAGACCAAAGTTAAGCATTGATACGCTTAATAAGCTAAAGCTATAATTGAACATTGAAAATTACACTAAGTAGCTTAACCTTTGCCAGCGATAATCCGTTTACATAGTCACGATTCACGAAAGACACAACTAACAAAATCCTAGACTCTTAGTCCTAGCGAGTTCAATTAACAAAAAGATTAGCTCTTTACAAGATATAGGAGCTTCCAATAGACAGAAGTCTCTCTAGCTGCCTATGTTAATTTTGAAACCTAGACTCAAACGAACAAAACACCTAGCAGAGCCTAAGTCATCAGACAACATCATCCAACGTTAGAGGAGGAGCTCTGGCGGCAGCCAACACCTTTGTCTTCTCTTGCTCCAGCAAAGCTTCTATGTCTGAGCACTTTTGCTTCTCTTTCTCCAGTTGAGCTTCCATGTCAGAGCACTTCTGCTTGAAGACCTTCAACTCTTCCTCTAGTTCTTGCATCCGAGACTTACCAATGTGCTCTACCATCTTCTTTTCCTTTACTTCCTCCAGTTTACCCTCCAACCAATCCACCTTAAAGCCCGAATTTTTCAGGTATGTTAGTGCTTGCTCTGCTTGGCCCAGGTCATCAATGGAAAAGTCTTGCAGTGACTGGCACAAAGTCTCGATTATGTTAAGGAGGAGATTTATGGATGATGTCCTCATATGTTGGTTCTTTGCTCGGAAATTTAGTGTCATTTCTGGGTGTTTTTCGAAAATACGTTTCAGAGCTTCCGCCTGCAGTTGTAAAAAAGGATGGATAAAGTATAAACTCATGTATAATGGTAGATTATAAAGATACCATTTTTTCCCTACATTGTATTAGTGTTCTACTGATAAATTCAAACAGAAAATAAGACCACCTCTAGTCCAAAATTAGCAACAGCGAAGAAGTAAATGATAAGTCTCACGAGTTTGAAACCGATAGTTATCAGTATTCATCCAAATCAGTTTCCTTGAGCAAATGACTAGTAGACACCGCACCACCATTTAGCCTCATCCTTTTCAGAGGTTGGTTTACCTCCTGAGATTCCTTAGAAACATCTAATTTGCCAATAACTTGAAGAAAATCAACCTCCACAACAATCTTGACTTCATTGTTCACAAGAAATCCACCATCTTTTGCATTAAGTATGGAAAGGAGAAGCATTATTTCAAACACACTGAGACGACGGTATCCATCTAACCATTCTTCTTTTTTTGTAGACCACGAAAACACAGAATTGATCTAACTCAAAACAAACATAAACAGAATTCACAAAATACGAACTTTCCTTTGTCCAAAAGCCTTATAGAACTCACCTACTTGTGGGGAGATTTCATCGGAGACTTGATTTACAACAGTTAACTCTCGATTCTCGGACTTTATTGGGCAAATGGAATCTGATGAAACAAGGCATATACTTTTCGATAATTACGAAAGTGACATTGTTCTTTCACCTGGCTTGGCCCATGGGCTTTTTCAAGAGGCATAAAACCCGTTGACCCATTAAAGGTTATTACAAGGAAATTTTCCAATAACTTTTTTGTTGGAAAATGAAATTCTAAAACCCTAAAAAATCCAACAAGAAGAGAAGCTCTCTCGCCGACAATTACCGGCTACAAGGTTTCTCTGCTCGTCAACGTTGTAAGTTGTTTCCTGTATCTTCATTGTAATCAAATTTGTGCATGAATGAGGTCAAATTAGTAGCTTCCCGAAATTAGGGTTTAATTACCGATTGATAACGAGCTTGGCTACGAATCTTATCGTTGTTGTTTGTTTTATGCAGCAGTGGATTTTGTGGTATTGAAAGATGAGCTTATCTCAGAATGCTCCGACAAGTAAGGCTAATAAAAGAGAGGAGCTCAAGAAACAGTACAAAGATGGGGAAGAGATTGTGTCCGATGATGATCTCACAAGGGGAAAGAGAAGAAAGACAGATAAGGAGAAGGAGAAGCTACAAGAATCGGAAGTGGTTGAAATGAAAAAGCTTGAGAATTTGATATTCGGGTCACTCTACTCACCTGTTACGTTTGGTAAGGAAGAAGAAGAAGATGGTTCGGCTTTGTTTCATGTAGACCGTTCTGCTGTGAGGCAGATTCCGGATTACGAGGATGATGATGATGAAGAGCTTTCTGATGAAGAGACTGGTCAAGTTGTGGGAATTAGAAAGGGAGAAGCCGCCTGGGAGGATGAAGAAGAGAAACAGATAAACATTGATATAGCTAGTGTCAACCGTCTGAGGAAGCTAAGGAAAGAGGAGAATGAGGGCTTGATCTCTGGCTCTGAGTACATTGCAAGGCTGAGGGCTCATCATGCTAAGCTAAACCCGGGGACTGATTGGGCTCGGCCAGATTCTCAAGTGATTGATGGAGAGTCTTCAGATGATGATGATACCCAGAATGGAGGAGTTGATGATATTCTCCGGACGAATGAAGATCTTGTGGTGAAGTCCCGTGGCAACAAGCTGTGTGCTGGTCGTCTTGAATACTCAAAGCTAGTTGATGCCAATGCAGCGGATCCTTCAAATGGCCCGATAAACTCTGTCCACTTCCATCAGAACGCTCAGCTGCTTCTCACTGCTGGATTGGATCGACGGTTAAGGTTTTTCCAGATTGATGGAAAGAGGAACACCAAGATCCAGAGCATTTTTCTTGAGGACTGTCCCATTCGTAAGGCGGCTTTCTTGCCCAATGGCTCTCAGGTCATTGTCTCCGGAAGAAGAAAGTTCTTTTACAGCTTTGATTTGGAGAAGGCAAAGTTTGACAAAATTGGCCCTTTGGTTGGTAGAGAGGAGAAAAGCTTGGAACAGTTTGAGGTGTCACAAGACTCTAACACCATAGCTTTTATTGGCAACGAAGGTTATATCTTACTTGTGTCGACAAAAACAAAAGAGCTGATAGGAACCCTAAAGATGAACGGTTCAGTTAGGTCCTTAGCATTTAGTGACAATGGGAAGCATTTGCTGAGCTCAGGAGGTGATGGGCAAGTCTACGTCTGGGATCTGAGAACAATGAAATGCTTATACAAAGGTGTGGATGAAGGCAGCACTTGTGGCACTTGTCTTTGCAGTTCGCTAAACGGAGCATTGTTTGCCTCTGGAACCGATAGAGGAATCGTAAACATTTACAAGAAATCTGAGTTTGTGGGAGGCAAGAGAAAGCCGATAAAGACAGTGGACAATCTCACTTCCAAGATAGATTTCATGAAGTTCAACCATGATGCTCAGATTTTAGCTATAGTCTCTACAATGAACAAAAACAGCGTAAAGCTAGTCCATGTTCCATCCCTAACCGTCTTCTCAAACTGGCCGCCACCCAACAGCACAATGCATTACCCTCGCTGCCTAGACTTCAGCCCCGGAAGTGGCTTCATGGCTATGGGAAACGCCGCCGGAAAAGTTTTACTGTATAAACTGCATCATTACCAGAATGCTTGAAGTGGTCTTAGCAAGGGCAGTTTTGGGATTGTTGTGTTTTATCCTTTATTTTGTCGCTAGTACTCTTTATGTTATCAATTTTCCTATCCAATTTTCGATCAATGAAAAATTTTCTTTCTGATTCTTGGGATTGAGTGGGCCAAGTGTTCTTTTCTCACGTTATTGTCAACATCAATCAAACACTTGTGTTTGGTACCATTCTCAAATAAATATGCAGGAGAAAAAGAAAGATGTCGACATTATTTCATGATTAACACAAAGTACAATTTAGTAGAGTGGCTTACTAATAGCTGAAAGGGTATCTCGATCCAGAGATTGAATCTGAACCGTCCATTCTTGTTTGGGTTTGTGTCTCACGTTCTCTGCCTTCTCTAATAATGGTCTTAGACCATCTCCAATGTATTTCCCTATTTTTAGCTCTAGGTAAGTTTTCTCTATTTTTACTTCCAATGTGTTCCTCTATTTTTTCATCTAAAAAGTTTAACTCTATTTATAGAGGAAAAAATAGAGATTCTCTATTCTCACCTCTATATATAGAGAAAAAAATAGAGATCTCTATTTTAGAGGTGAGAATAGAGGTGGGTTGGAGCAAATTTGCCTCTAAAATAGAGTTTAGAGGCAAATATAGAGGTGGGTTGGAGATGCTCTTAAGCCGCTTTTTCACTCCTTAAACTCAAAAACAAAAACAAAAAAATTAGTATTTCCTTGGGAGCCTGGCCGGCGAATCCGGCCGGTCGTTTAGGCTGTGTCCGAAGGAAAGTTCCAATTTTTATTCACGGAAATCCAGTTAAGGTAATAGTCTACATTTGTCGATTTACTTTGGCTTCTCTGGGATTGCTAAATTTCTTCTAATTTCTCGAATGATTCATCATATCTTGCATTTGGGTGATGAAGAAGCACTAGATTACACATTTTCTGGTTTATAAGCTTCACAAGTGTTCTCTTATATAATGTTGTATTAGGAGTGGTTGTTTGATTTTACTGAAAATTAGTCAGTCATTTGTCTCCCCTAGTCAACTTACAGTGATGAATTGGTTCAATAAATTTTTCATAATTCATTTCTTAACTCGGTTTAACCTCATTCAGTATATTTATATATTTAGATCGCTTGAGAAAGATCTGATATTCTTTCTGTGAATTTGAATGTTGCAGGTTTCCACATTGAACAATCACAGCTGTACCATTTGTCGAGATCACAACACTCAAGTGTCTTAGATTTAGCAAGCCTAACTATTGAGTAAATGACGGCTTCATTGCACTTGTATGGAGTTAAAGCTCCAGGCCTTGCTTTAAGTTCAAAGAGGCTTGAGTTTGGCTCAAAGGGGTCTAGTTTTTCAGTTACATTGCCATCAAGTAGTGCAGTCTTTAGAGCCGTAGAGCATTCTTGTAGGAATATAGCTTTGAGAGTTAGTTGTGAAGATGTAAGAGTCGATTTGCTTGAAAGAAAAGAGCCCGAGACCTGCAATTCAAGCGCAAATGGCAAAGAGTTGACATGTGTAATGAAATTCGGCGGTTCATCAGCAGAGAGGATGAAAGAAGTTGCCAATCTTATACTCAGCTTTCCAGATGAGAGGCCCGTCATTGTGCTATCAGCAATGGGGAAGACGACTAATAAGCTTTTGAAGGTAATCCTACAATGTCAATCTTTTCTACTTCTTTCTGATGACGTTTTTGTTATCAGTAGATTGAAAGATTTTCTTGGCTTTTCGCTTTCGTTAGGCTGTTACTTGCGGTGTCACTAACGTAGAAAGTATTGAAGAATTGAGCTTTATAAAGGAACTCCATTTAAGGTTAAATAAAACAAAGTTTTCTCATGTGTATTTGATTGTTATCTAGTGTTTACAGTCCAATTTAGCCTTATTCTCATGGAAAACAAAATTGTCTATGTTCAGAGCTGCTCATGAGCTTGGAGTGGAAACAACGGTTATTGAAAGTAAGTATTTTGGTTCTCTTTCTCGATGCTAGAACAATGTCACTTTCGTAATTATCGAAAAGTATATGCCTTGTTTCATCAGATATCTTATGTGTCTTCTCCATCCACAAGGCAAAGTTCTAGGATCAGATACCATTAAACACAGAGAGAAATAATTATCATTGACATATCCATGGGGACATGCCGCAAGACGCCTGCAAGCAAAAACACCATAGAAAACAATGGAGGATGTTCTCTTCAACCAAAATTTGGACGAAAAGAGACAACAGATATAACAAAGTTGTCTTCTTCTTACCATCTGCAGCCACCGATCACGAATTTATCAGATTTCAAAGATGAGAAATTCTTAATCACCCAAGTGAATTTCTCATACCCCATCGAACACGACTTCTCACAAGTCACACAACCAAACTATCAAAGCTTGAAGACGACCAACGAAAAACCCTATGACTTGGGTCACTGAGTGGCACTCCAACTGTTGTTGTGTCGAACCACTCTTGTATCGCTCGTCTGTTTCACTTATAGATAATGGGCTTCGGCCCAATTTACTATTTCGGCCCATGTTAATTAGTCACCGCTATTTAAAATGCGATTTATTAACATGTTTTGACTTTTGTGGTTGGTTTGGAAATAGTTAAAAAGAAAGGGGTAAAAAAGTAATAATAACTTAAATCTGTTCCAGAAACATCGTTTAGCCATAAACCCTATAAATTACACGAAGACGAAGAAGAAGAAGAAGAGTTTCGTGTTCTTCACAAAGCTATTAGAGATGGCGGAGCACTTAGCGTCAATTTTCGGAACGGAGAAGGATCACGTGAATTGTCCTTTCTACTTCAAAATCGGCGCTTGTCGTCATGGAGATCGATGCTCGCGTCTCCACACCAAGCCAAGTATAAGCCCTACGCTTCTCCTTTCGAATATGTATCAGTATTAGCGTCCCAATATGATCACTCCTGGTGTTTATGTTCATGGTAACACTCTCGATCCTCGTAACTCGTAAGATGCAAGAACACTTCGAGGTTAGTAACTTTTTCTTCCTCAGGATGATTGAATTTTGGATGTTTTCGGGATTTTGAATATGTTCTTGAAGATTGTGAAGTATTCTCTTGCAATTCTGGTGAATGATTTGATGTATGTTATGTGGTTTTTGGTAAGTATTTGGAGATGATGTATGTAATTGTGAACTTGCAGGACTTTTATGAGGATCTTTTTGAGGAGCTGAATAAGTATGGTGAGATTGAGAGTCTGAATGTCTGTAACAATCTCTCTGACCACATGGTAAGTTGTTTTTGAGGTACTAGCAAAGCATTCTCTCATTGTTTCGTTCGTGGACGTTAATCATAACAATATATTTCAATCTTCTTGTGTAGGTTGGTAATGTGTATGTGCAGTTTCGAGAAGAAGAGCAAGCAGGAAATGCGCTTCGCCATCTTCAAGGAAGATTCTATGCAGGTTTGTTGCAACTTCAATGTTTTAAGAAGTTTTTTTTTACTTACAGGCTTGTATGTTAGTCTTACTTTTTTGAACATTTGGAAACACAGGTCGTCCGATCGTTGTTGATTTCTCCCCTGTCACCGACTTTCGTGAAGCTACTTGTCGACAGTATGAGGAAGAGACTTGCAAACGTGGTGGATACTGCAACTTTATGCACCTAAAAAGCATTAGCAGGTTCACATGTTTCTTCTTTTGTCATGTGTTGTTCATATATATTATTTCCTATGTTGTACTTAAAACCATCTGACTCTCTCGTCCATCAACTTAACTTGACAGTGGATTAAGGAGGCAGTTATATGGAAGATACAAAAACAGGCATAGCCATAGCAGAAGTAGGAGTCCTTATAGGCATCGTAGTCACGAAGATCGCTCTCATGAAAGGCATAGCCGCAGTAGAAGGTATGATGATGATGATGGTGAGAGCCGTAGCAGGAGCAGGAGATACAGGAGCAATAGCCCTCGCCACAGAAGAGGACGGAGGAGTAGGAGCAGAAGCATAAGTCCTGGTGGAAGGAGACAGAGAAGTCCTGTTAGGGATGGGAGTGAGGAAAGACGTGGTAAGATTGAGCAATGGAACAGGGAGAAAGAAGAGCTCAGGGCAAATGACAAATGCAGCGATGGGTACATAAAGAAGGACAACTATCATCAGGAGCGGTCCTTTCAACAAGAAGGCTGTTGATGCCATCTGGTTAGTGCAAATTTTCCTTCTCATACCTCTCGTCAATATTTATAGGTAGATTCGGTTAGGTTATCAACAAACGTACCTCACAGCCCATTTTCCGCTGTGCAGGTTTGTGCAGGGTCAGAAACTCTGTGGTTAAAATTAATTAGTTTGCTTAGTTTACATTGATGGTTAGTGATGACAACTTTTCCTTTGCAAATCATAGCATATGCATGTTGGTAGTCATAGTAGTCCTTGCATATGCTATCTTGCTTGCCCTGCAATGATGTGAACCACCCTGAACTTCCGTTTTGCATTTGTGAAACCATTCTTGAACTTCTGTTTTGCATTTGTGAAACAATTCTCAGTTTCCAAACTGTTTTCATCAAATCAACTATCTTAAAGCTGCAAGTTTTTGATATGCACGGTTCTGTAATTACTTATTTACAAAGAAAGCATTTTTCCGAATTAACTCAGTTTTTCTCCCTTTCTTTTCTTGGGTAGGTGCATACTTCACTTATTGTCATTGAATTTATATCATTGTGTGTATGCTAAGTTTGGGTATGATTTCGATGTAGTTTGGTAGAACTTTGTATGTTGCTCATAGTCATGGTGTCATTTATCATTGTGTGTGTGTTTGCTTTGTTCGGGTGTGAGTTCTATGTAGTGCATGTAGAACTTTGTTTGTTACAGTCAGGGAAAATATGACAAGTGCAAGTTGGGAATAGAGCGAATGCAACCATAACTCTCTGTACTGGTTCTGGTCATCTAATCATCAACTCTTATAATTTTTCAATTCTCTTTGGCTTTGTTATTGTATGCTTACGGTTTTTGAGAGTTTTGCAGGTTCAGGTTTGGCCTTGTAGAGATGATAGGTGCGAAAAGGTTTGTTAACAATATGTGGAATTTGTTTTACAGGTTTTAATGGTGGCTTGAAGATTTGTGTTTAAAAAACAGATGTGCCGATGCAAGGACTGTTGTGGATTCAGACATGTTAGAGACAGGTCTGATGGTGGCTTGAAGATTTATTTTTCGTTTTTTTTTTGGGTTTTGAGTTTTCAGACTTGTTCTTGGCTTTGTATGGATAATTTTTTCTACTTTTGAAATATTATTGTGTGCTTTGTCCTGACGAATCTCGGCTCATTTAAACTCTAAAGTCACAATGGAAAACTGTAGCTTCCCGCTTAGGGCAGGATGCAATTTTTAATACATTGTAGTTAAGGCTGGGCAATTAATTAAATGGGTCGATGAGCTCTGGGAGAGCAACATGTGAGCATGGGATTTAAATATAATTTAGTTATTCTTTTTACTTAAAGAAAAAAATATTTTTTTTGGTAGGAACTTAAAGAAAAAAATATTGACACAATTAAAATACCAAATTGAGTTGAGTAAATAGATATACGACTTTATAATAATTGTGTAATTTATGCACATGTGAACACAATTAATACACACTATTGACATTATAAATTTTTACATTTACCACCTAACACAAATTAAATAATATTATGACTAATGTTCATGTAATCATTTAATATTATAGCAATAGCTTGTTTTTAGTTTTACAATCAAAAATATTGAAAGCAAATAGTAATATGACTAATGTTGTTTTCAAAATCAATTCCAAACTGCATTTTCATTGAAAAATATTTGATAATTTCATAGCACTCAAACAATGTTAGCATTTTCAAATTTGACTAAACACATTAAAGCTATGAAAAGCAATCATCTGATGCATTGTGCTTATGTCACATGGTCTTCAACCAATATATTTTATATTTTAGTTTCCTTCAAAAAAAATATAAAGACTAAATTATATTCCAGAAATTTGTCATCGTACAGTTAAAGCTGTCCAATGCTTCGAAAATAATTTTTTTTTCCATGTATGGGGTTGGCCTCCCAACAGACAGAACTTACATGTATCGGGTTCAGCTGCCTCATAGTTGCATACCCTTTAATATCTTCAGTTCAAAGGATGATGAAGAAAGTTGCTTGAAAGCTGGCATCTATTACGTGGACGAGGATGGTACAATACCTGTACTAAGTGCATGGTTCATGGCTGCTAAGGCATGGCGAGGCAGAACAAGATTCAACCCGTCGGGAATGAAGACGTATGTCAGATCGTACGTTCACTTTCCTTCAGCTAAACGCTTCAAGTTGCGCAGAACTCAGAGTGGAGACTTTGTCGATATCATGGAAAATTTTGAATTGATCGAGGATGTAGGGAGGTAACGGGGTTATCTACGAGGTGATACATTCGAAAGAGAGTGGAGACCACTTTATTATTATTTTTAACAAAGAGAAATGTATTAAAAAAAATAACTACTCATTTTGATACATTTTCAGCAATTTTCACAAAATAATATATATTCAAGACTACATGGACAGTTTAAAAAACATTATTATATTTTCAAATACTATCGTTGTTGTACAATTCAATGGCTTTTGATTTTGAACTACTCATCATACATTTTTCCATCTAATTTGTTGAGTCAACACTTTGATATTCGACATCGTAATTTCAAAAGAGAATGAAAATTACATTGCTCACAAAAAATAAACCTTATTTTTCATCTGCTTATGCATGTATAATAGTATACCTAGACTAAGCAATCAAAAATAATTTAATAATTCTTTTTACTTAAAGAAAAAAATATTGACATAATTAAAATACCAAATCCGGTTGAGTAAATATGCGACTTTATAATAATTGTGTAATATATATATATATATATATATATATATATATATATATATATATATATATATGCACATGTAATTACAATTAATACTCACTATTGACTTTATAAATTCCTACATTTACCACCTAACACAAATTAATTAATGATTTTTATGATCCAACGCGGCGGATGATTTGATGATCGATCAAAATGGGGTAGACTTGGTCAAGGATCTTATAGCACAATATGTGGAGTTGGATGAGGTGGTTGACAAATGTGTTCATGTTCTTATAGCGGGTGATCACATCTTCTGTGATGCGGTTCAAATGTTGATGGGTCTCGGAAGTACGGTATTGTTGGTATATCCGAAACTCTCTTGTGATATTACTCACCTTCGTGAAATGTTTTCTATTACATCTAGGATGAGTTGGCTCACATTTCTTGGCATGGAGGATAGGCGTTAGAGTGTTTGTGTGTGGTTTTTTTTTTTTATCAAGAACTATTAGTGATTCGAAACTTGTTCAATTAATATCTTGATTATTGAAATACAACTGTCGACAAAAAGAAAATGCAACTTTGCCCAAATGTAACACGATTGAGAAGCGGGTCAAATTCATTGATTAGATCTTAACAGTTTGATTTGTTAATTATTTAGCACGTTTTATATACTTATGTATAAAATTATAATAAAATTTAAATCCTATAAAGTAGATTTTTAAAAATACTTTGTAAGCGCTGTTGTATATACACTAGATATAGTACGGGTTAAATTTTATTTATTACAAAATTTATATATTATATACTTTAGAATAAAGTTGTGATATATTATAATAGTAATTGAAAAAATATAATTAGATTTTTGTCAGTCCCTACATATAATATTAGAATGAATATATTTTCTTTTTTTAATTATACTCAATTATGGATATATTTTTTTAAGATATGAAAACGGAAAATAAAATTATTTTAATAAATTAATATGGTCTGAACAATGAGTTAATTTATATTAACAACCAGAAAATGAGATTGCATATAATTCAGTTAGATCAAAAATCAAAATATTATAAATGAATCGCTTCTAAAACGTAAATTATTTTTAATTAATTAAGAAAGTTAGCTATTATTTGGAATTAATTTAGGAAATTCTTTTTTCAATTTCTAATTCTTTGGTTGTTGAAATAGAGATTTGTTTGAGGTAACTACGGAATTTACCAATTATTCGCGTAATCGAATATGTTATGAACATATATTTAGTATATAATATACCAAATTCAACCTGTGCGTGGAGTCTATCTTTTTATTTTAGAATCCTAATGAAAATATTGTGTGTACAATCTATTATTCGTTATTTCCAAAATTGTTTGCACAATCAAATTTTCAAATTTTTATGGTGTCAACCTTATTTAATCTATCTGATCATATAATCTTAACATGCCGTCTATTATAAGGATTATAATTTTATATCATATAATATATTACATTTAACCCTCCGCCTACTATAACTACTAGGACTCAGGACCCCCGCGATGTCGCGGGGAAATATATTTCAAAAATCATTTAAAAAATATCAAACGAAAAATTATAATGAATTGTAATAATTTTGAATTTTTTAATAACAAAAAAATATATATTTCACAAAAATTATGATAAAGAAAACCCTCACAAACATATTTTAAGTATATTAATATTAGAAAAACAATAATTTGTAACTAAAAAACTATTCTCCAGTGCAAAAAGCATAAACTAATAAACTAAATATTACAATGGTTTGATAAATAAGCCAAAACGTTCAACGTCAAATAAACCAAATGCTATTGTGTTAAATTAAACGGTAACAACAACTCATTTAAATATATTTTAGTATTTAAATGTTTTGTTAAAAATACGACGAACTTATCCGAGAAACGCAACCGTAGATATCAAATATTCCAAAAACTGCAACGGTTCGTCAATTATACCAAATGTTGCAATAGTTCATCAAATATACTAAAGATAACAATGGTTCGTAACACAAAACCAAAAGTTGCAATAATTCGTCAAATAATCCAAATGTTGAAACAGTTCAATTAAATAGTTACAATCTCATTTAAGTACATTTTAGTAATTAAAAATTAAGAATTAAAATAATAATTTATGAAAAGTTACACCGAGAGACGCGGCGGTAGATAATTAAATGTTATAGCTATTTATAAAATAAACCAAAAATTGTAATTGTTCGTGAAATAAACTAAATATATAAACCAAAGGTTGCAATTGTTCGTAAAATAAACTAAATATTGCAATGATTCGAATAAGCGTTTTCAACTGTTTATGAAGAGTTACAATAAAAAACGCAATTGTAGAAAACATTCAGAATGCAATTTATAAAGAAAAAAACATAACCATAAAATATATATTTTAATTAATAAAAAAATTAACGAAAAGTTGCGATAAAAAGACGCAACCGTTCAGATGTGCAAATGGTATTTATTAGATTGCTATTATATATAGATTTTAAATATATCTTTTTAGAAAATCAAATTAAAGTATTTATAATTTTTTTTATCTATTTAATCTATTAAATATTTATTATATTCATTAATATGTTAAATTAAACTATTTTTAAATGTTCCAAATTAAAATCGTTAAAAATATTTCTTGTAGTATATTAAAATTATGAATTTCAAAAAAGAATTATATGAAATTAAATAGAAATATTCAAACAGTTATAAGGATCATAACTCATTTTTTAATATAATATATTATATTTAACCCACTGCCTATTATAAATATTTGTTTTAAAAAAAATCAAATTAGAGTATTTATTGATGATATTCTTTAAATATTGATGATATTTTTGAAAAATATCAAGTAAAACTAAATTTATATGTTGCAAATTAAAATATTTAAAAATCTTATTTTAGTATATAAAATATTAAATTTCAAAAAATAAATGTATGAAATTGAATATAAATATTCAAATTCTGACCCGTTACTCAGTCGAAATTTTTGTTGAACTTATTTTTGGTTAAAAGAAATATATTACTCAAATGTGAATTTTTGACCCTTTAAATTTTTTTCTTCATAGATTTAAAAATTTATATTCGTTTTCAAAAATTTATGTCTTGGCATATGCAGAAAAAATTTACTCTTTTTTTGTTATATGGACGATATGATGATTTATTTGTTTCATAAAAATAGAATCATATGAAAATGAGAGGTGAGGTATAAT